GTGCTGCTAATTGCAGGGCCGGCAGTTCAAAACTACCAGCTGCTCTGTAGGAAAGAGACAAGGCGTTCTACTAAGACAAGGATTTCTAGTCCTGAAAATCCATCATGGGACAGTTCTATCCTGTTCTGTAGGGTTGCTATGAGTCAGAGTTTACTCAATGTCAGTGCGTTTGCTTGGGGGTGGGGGATCAGGGGTGGGAGCGGTATGTGTGTGTACATGTATATGTATTTGGTTTTGCGGACATTTCATTTGAAAGTAAAGGATACCGTCCATCCATCGTTGTAGAAGACAATCAATGTTAGGAACAATTGAAAGTAGGTAAAATCAATAGGTTGAGATTCCAAAAGGCATTGAGAAGAGGTTTGAAAGGAAACTTAGAGAATTGCCTTTCTTTATGTCTGTTGATTCTCCTCCGTCCTAACTCTGACCATTGATGTGAAGAAAAAGTAACTGGATGAACTGAAAACACTTAAAGAAGAAATGGGAAATAAAAAGTATGTGGTTTGGTCAACACCACTCAGCCCAGCCCAGCCCATGGGGGCTCTTGTAGAACCTCCTGAACTAGAAACTTCAGCCAGGTCGAGGTCCAGAGAGGCTGGGGAATCTCCCCACTCCGCTCCCTGTGGTTCACTGGACACAGGGTGCTGGGCAGCTCTGCCCATGTGACCTCATCACATCCTGCCTGGGTCCCCACAGCAGCAGGCTGTTTGTCATCTGGGAATGTCTGCGTCCCAGTAGAGACAGCTCAGAGTGACAAACTGCCTGGCATGCACACACACACACACACACACACACACACATACACACGAACACACAAATTGAATATAACCCAAAAGCCTAAAATAAACTCTAGCTCTTCACACACACAAAAAATATGTGGTACCATTAGTAAAAACACTCATTGTAATTATGTTTCTTCTTGTTGTTCCACGCTCTTGAACGACCTTACCTACAACAAAACAAAACACTGGCTGGCCCCGCGCCAGCCTCACAAATATTCTATAGTCTGAGATCATCGTTATAGCCACTGCGTCAATCCATCTGGTTGTGGGCTGAGTTAGTCTGGGTACTTTAGAGAAACAAATCCACAGAAACTCATGTATAAGAGAGAGTTTTATATAAGGGTTAAGTGCACATCAAGAAAATATCCCAACCCAGTGCTGCCCAAGCCCACAAGTCAGTCCAACATTAGCCCATATGTCCGACACCAGTCCACAAAGTCCTCCTCCATCTCACAAAACACACGCAATGATGCTGACTGCAGGAGGAAAGCCGAGTCAGTGAATGTGGAAGCATCTCAGAGCTGGCAGGGGTCTCCACATGGCTGCTCCAGCACCCAGGGCTGCATCGGGATAGGTCCATGTGGCTTCTCCTCAGGTATGTCTTTTGGGAAGTGAGATTTGCCAGCTGAAGCAAGGAACTGCTAAGGCAGCTGCACCCTGGTATGACCATCACAAAGCAAGAGACCTAAGAACTCGAAAGGCGAGGCTCACCAAGCCATTTATCTCTCCGCCCTTTCAATTAACCCCACGTGTTTATCGGCCAGGTTGGCACAATAAACTGTAACTATCTCAAAGGCTTTCCAATTTTTCCTGCCTTTCCACGTTCCCAAACATGATGTTCTTCTCCAGGGACTGGACTCTCTTAAAAAGATGGCCGAAGTACTGGAGACAAGTCTCACCATCCTCGCCTCTAGGGAGCATTTAGTTTATGGTGATTATGTTGGGTGATGTTAATCAGGACACTGCTTGCACTAATGGTAAATGGTGGTCAAGTTAGCTCCCTGAAGACTCCAGCCATCCAGAGCAAGCAGACACCATTGTTCTTTCCACAGTTGATGGGGCTCACTCCCTGCTATTATGCACAGTGGACTGCTCCCCCTGAAAGTTTAGGCTAAATAAAGTCTCCACTCTAGGGCAATCAAGGTTAAGCCGCCATCATGCATCTAGCATCCACCCATCTTGTCACATGTATACCCTGAATCCCTCCTCTTCCTATAGCATGTGTACCCCGAGATTGTCCCCCTCCCATTACTGTATTACCTATAGTAATAGGGAACTGGCTAAGGCAGCTGCCAGTTTTTCCTGTGACGTACGTCTTTACCTGTAATCAGGGGGCTTGCACATCCCCAAAGATATGGAAGCCTTGGTTAGCAATAAATCGCTCTCTGCTGCCCTGTACCATCAAGAGGAGCGGAGGTGAGCATGCTATGTGTGGAGGCGAGGTGAGCATGAAATGTGTCGGACTTCTTTATTTTACTCTCTCTTCTATCGCTCATACTCTCTATGACTTTACTATAATCTTTGGTAAATTGTGTACACTTGCGCTTATTGAACCCATGATTAGTTGTGGGAGCCTGGCTACCCTCACCCTCTGGCACCACGCCCACTGCCATAGAGTCAATCCCAACTCATAAATCAAAAAAACAAATTCACTGCCATCAAATCGAGTCGATTTTTATTCAAAGAGACTGCCCCTCTGGATTTCTGAGGCTTTAAATTCTTACTGGAGCTAAAAGCCTCATCTTTCACTCAGAACCGCTGGTGGGGGTTTGAACAGCTGACCTTGTAGTTAGCATAACTC